GAATATGCATCGTTAAATGAGTGTCCTAAACGCGGTTTGTCTCGATATAAGAAAAAATTGTCTCCAACAAACGTCTTGTGGTATTTTCCTATAATTCCGAGATTTAGGCGCATGTTTCGTAGTGAAACCGATGCAAGACACCTTACTTGGCATGCAGATGAAAGAATTATTGATGGAAAGTATCGACATCTGGCAGATTCACCACAGTGGTCTAAAATTGATAATGATTATCCTGATTTTGGATAAGAAGCAAGAAACCTTCCCTTGGCTTTATCTATTGATGGAATGAACCTGCATGGTCTTCAAAGTATATCAAATACCATATGGCCTGTGATTCTTATGATTTATAACCTACCTCCATGGCTATGTATGAAGCGTAAGTACATGATGTTATCTATGTTAATATCTGGGCCTAAACAACCAGGGAATTACATAAACGTATACTTGACACCTTTGATCGAAGATTTAAAGATTTTGTGGGAGAACGGGGTGGAGTTTTATGATGGACATAGGAAACAAAGTTTCAATTTGAGGGCGATGTTGTTTGGCACAATTAATGATTTTCAAGCATACGGGAATCTATCTGGGTATAGAATTAAAGGTCAACGTGTGTGTCCCGTTTATGAAGATGGAACCGATACGACGCGTTTGGAACTTTGTCAGAAGAATGTGTTTCTAGGTCATCATAGATTCTTACATTCTAAACATCACTACCGTGCATGGAGAAATGCATTCAATGGAGACACCGAACAACATAAAGCTCTACCTGCATTGTCAGGTGACCAAATTTTTGAAAAGATGAAAGATGTGTGTACTCAGTTTGGCAAGCCTTTTACGCATACGGTTGTCAAAGGTGGGTGGAAGAAGAGATCGATTTTTTTGAATTGCCATATTGGAAGTCTCTGTATGTGAGACATTTTCTCGATGTTATGCATATTGAAAAAAATGTATTTAAAAGTGTTATTGGTACGTTACTCAATATTAAAGGAAAGTCTAAGGATGACCTTAAAGTAAGGGAGGACATGTTAAAGATTGGAATACAAACTGAACTAGGACCCGTGAAGAAAGGAAGCTGAACATATCTACCACCTGCTGCTTTTACTCTATCTAGAAAGGAGAAAAAGATATTGTGTAAGTTTCTAAGTGAAATTAAAGTTCCAGAAGGATACTCTTCAGATATTAGAAGACTTGTGTCTATGAAAGACCTCAAGTTAAAGAGTTTAAAGACACATGATTTCCATGTTATAATGGAGCATTTTCTACCAATAGGTATACATTCTATTTTTCCAAATAAAGTAAGGAGTGCAATAACTAAGTTGTGTTTTTTCTTTAGGTCAATTCGTAGTAAGGTGATTGATCCTGAGATCTTACCAACATTGCAAAAAGAAATTGTTATTACTTTGTGTGAGCTTGAAATGTATTTTCCTCCCTCATTTTTTGACCTAATGGTACATCTAGTTGTTCATCTTGTGAAAGAGACTCAGTTGTGCAGCCTAGTTTATATGAGATGGATGTACCCTGCTGAACATTATATGAAATTATTAAAAGGGTACGTGAAAAACCAAAGTCACCCAGAGGGTTGTATTATTGAGCGATACATTGTTGAAGAAGCGGTTGAGTTCTGTACTGAATATTTGTCTAAAGTTCAATCTATTGGACTCCTGAAAAGTCATATTTTTGAAAAAAAGGAAGGTAAAAGATTAATTGGAAATAAAATTGTGACAATATCAAAAGATGAATGGGATCAAGTGCATCTGTATGTTCTACACAATGACAGTGAGGTTGAGCCATATGTTGAAATGCACAAGGATGTACTCCGAGGGTTAAATCAGAATAAAAATGAAAATTGGATAGTACGGGAGCACAATCAAAGTTTTATACAATGTTTTAAGGATCATATTTTTTCAAAGCTTCATTCAGATCCCGCTTCAATAACAGAAAGGTTGAGATGTTTGGCATATGGTCCAAGTTTGCATGTGTTTTCCTATAGCGTATACGCAATTAATGGATACACATTTTATACCAAAGAACAAGATGATAAAAGTACTATGCAAAATACTGGTGTCACCGTGCTTGCTGAAGCAATGCACATTTCAAGTATGAAGGACCTAAACCCCAAATATGCAAATCTGTCATATTTTGGGGTTATCGAGCATATTTGGGTGTTTGATTAGCTTTTCGCTTCCAAAGAGATATTCAAGTGCCAAAAAGTAGAGCCAACAATGTTACATGAATTAGAGTGGAGGTATATTTTCACAAGAGATATTCAGTTTTGATTACATTAGTGATGATACTTGATAAAACGATTTAAGGGGTATATCCTGATATATATTCGTATTTTCTTTCCATGTGTAGTGTCCTCGCCAACGTAACTGTATATATTGCGGCTATTTTATGTTGAGGTTTATGAAAGAAACTATTCTTTTGGATCGATTAGAGATTCCATCCACGGTATGGATTTCTAACTTATGAATTACATACTATTTTCATATTTTGTGTTTCTCATAAAATGACATATTGTTTCAACTAAATCACATACTATGTTATATTATTATATATATATAGTACTTTGAGGAATTCAATTGTGCACATTACTCAAAAGATAAATTGGATGAACTTATGGAGGAATGGTGTCAATTCATTATCAGGTTGAGAATTTTATAAGCTAAGGTATATTGTCTTATTTCCTTTGATGAGAACTTTCGAGTTTTGACTATAAATTAAATTAGAATAAAGTGCAACTGTAATATTATCATGTTATGAATTTCGATCATTTGGTTTTTTTTTCTCCAGGTTTATAGGTGCATGTGTAGAAGATAGAGCTAAGATATTCATGTTGTTGTTATTTCATGAGAATTCTCGAAGATAGAAAGATGTACAAATGTAACATCAATTTTGAATTTTAGGATTTTTAACTTGTATCATAAATTTTGTAATTGTTGTTGTATATATATATATATATATATATATATATATATATATATATATATATATATATATATATATATATATATATATATATATATATATATATATATATATATATATATATATATATATGTAATTTTTATATATGCATATTTTATTGGAATAAAGCTACCAAATATGGTGCATAATATGGTGAAAACCTGATTCAAATATGGTTAAAATTCGGATTAAAATGTATTATATATATTGGACGACGCTTTTGTAAGTCAAAATAGATAATTTATTAAAAAAAACCGTGAACAATAGACAGCGCTTTAGGAGAAAAGCGCTGTAAAAACTCAAAAATAAGCGCTGCCTAAAGTGTGAAAGCGCTGTCTAAAGTGGGGAAATAGACAACGCTTTTAAAGAAAAACGTTGTCTAAAGCCTAACTTAAAAAATAACAAAGCGCTGTCTAAAGCAAAAACGCTGCTAAAGGGGTATACAAAATAGCGCTGTCTATTCTAAAAGCGTTGTCTAAAGTGGGCATAAGAAAACGCTTTTACATTGAAAAAAAGCGTTGTCTTTTAATTTAGCAGCGCTGCTTTAGGCAGCGCTTTAAAACGCTGTTAAAAGCCTAAAAAAGCGCTGTCTTTTCCTTTTTTTTGTAGTAGTGTTTATTATTTTTCGACATGTGTTGGAGTACCCACTAGCCGAATTAGTTTCGATCTTGTGGTCTAGTATCCATGTGATCACCACATCAGTTTTAGACACTTTCCCGAGATTGAAATTTATAGGCATTAACACATGAGTGAACACTTAATGGATGAGACGAACATTAATGAAAAGTAGTATGTGACCTGATAATGGGTTGATAAGAAGTGATTGAGAAGAAGAGAGAAAGTCAAAATCTACCACTACACTAGAGACTTCAGAACTATCTATATTAAACACAAGACATAAACATTATCTCTTTGTCATGTTTAATATTGAATCCTTAAACATGCATCATTTTATGTAAGATGGAAAAATTTCATCTAAATCACTTATATTTCATCTAAATCTAAACATGATTTGTGGACTCCCTATCTAATATATTTATGGTCATCTAAAATTAAGTGAATCACAAACTCTTAATAAGAAAGAACCATGACCCAAATCTTACAAATAGGATGGAGATTTGGTAACACATGTAGATTATATATGGACAATTAGAGGATAGGGAATAAAAGGTGATTTAATAGAAGGATCCTTAGCTATGTTAGATTTATCTGTGTTTAGATCGATTAGTTAGATGTTAGATTTATCTATGTGTTTAGATTGATTAGTTAGAAAGGTGAAGGTAGATTTAAATAATGTAGTGTTTCTAGAAATTAATACATCTCTAGTTTAAAGGTAAAATAAACAATTGTGATTAGCCGTTTTTTAAAGTGCTTATGAGCACGCAAACATTTAGTAGAAAAAGAATAGCCCAAAAAGTTCTTTATATAATAATTTGGTTCAATTCATCATAAAATCCAATTCAGCACCAGATCATTACTTCAGTTTGAAAGAAATTATAACAATTTAGTTCGGTTTTTCAAAATTCTTATTAGGGTTTGGTTCAATTCAGTTAAGATTTTTGATTCAACCAAACCATAAACAATCCCATCTAGAATTTTAATTTTATCTATAATTTCCATGATGATGATGACATTTAGAATTCATAAATATTTTTTAGTGAATAATTTTTTTTTAATTAGTCGCGAAAATACAACAATTTCAATATTATATTCCATATCGCACGTCAATTATCATTAACGTCATTTGGAAGAATGATTAACATAATCTATTTTATTCCGTTAAAGAATCAGTATGACGTTTTTTCTTTAATTAAAGGTAAAGATAAAGGACTTAATTCAAAAGTCTTACTAATTAACCTTCTTATAAAATATAAATTTACTTTCCTAAAAAATCATAAAAATCATATTACAAACTTCATATCCAAATCCAAAAAATCAAGAATTTATTAAACAAAACATGCTAATTAATAAATATAAAAAATGATAAAAGAACTATATTAAAGCATATAGGTTGAAAGAAAACATGTTGAAATTCAAGTGCAGCAGCTTCCACCAAAAACAGAAGGGATCCTACCCATTAATGGTTCAGCATATCCAATTTTGATTCCATGAGTTTCATTCAACATACCGATTTCTCCATGTTTAATCTTTTTATATATTGCTTCAGCTGTTTTTATGAATGCATCTTCAACATTTTCTGCATTTTTCGCCGAAACCTCCATGAAGATCAAACCATTCTCCTTCGCAAATTGCTCGCCTTCTTCAGTACTTACAACGCGCTTCTTAATGAGATCGGATTTGTTACCGATTAACATAATGGTGATATTTGAATCTGCATGTTGCCTTGCATCTTCTAACCAACTAGCCAAGTGATCAAATGTTTCTCTCCTTGTTATATCATAAACAAGTAATGCAACTGCTGCTCCTCTGTAATACGATCTTGTTATTGATCTAAACATTTCTTGACCTGCTGTGTCTCCTATACTTAACTTGATTCGTTTATTATCAATGGTGATTGTCCTTGCACCGAATTCGACACCGATTGTTACGTCGTGGACTGGTTGAAATCGGTTGTCAGTGAATTGAAGTTGAAGGCATGATTTTCCAACTCCGGTGTCTCCGATTATTATGTACTTGAAGAGATATGCATAAGACATTTTTGCTGTTAGGTTTTTGCGAACTGTGATGATTCAATATGGTGATGCGCTATTTATATGGATAAAAATCTTAGTGAAACTTATTAATAACTACTGAAGCTATTCTTATTCGTAATACTCGGAAAATAAACCAAGATAATCGCAACTAACTCATAGTTCAAAGTATTTTCAAAAAAGAAACTAATTAATCGAAATATTGGGAATTAAGATAACTTGGAGATCGGTAAGATGAGATATAAAAATTTATAGAATACCTAGTACTATTATTTAAGGTTATTTTGTGTTATATATCTCTTTTAAGGTTATTTTTAATATCTGTTTCTTATTTTTCTTCTTAAAATTGATTATTTTATCTAACATATAAATATATTAAGAAATTATAGATATTTATTTATTTTTTTAAAGAAAAAAGTTTAGGCGAGATTATAGAAATTTCTATTTATTTTATCTATTAAATATTCTATTTACAATTTAATTAATTTCATTTTTTTTATATATTTAATAGCATTTTAAAATTATTTTATATGCCCCAATGTCACTTCACATATAGATTTTATTATTTATTCACTAAATATTTTATTTGTTTTTTAATGGAAAATAGATATATAAGTGTTCACGGTTCGGTTTTGTTTTAGACTGGGTTTGTGGTTGGACCACTATCGGATACGGTTTGACTTATCTCTATGTTGATGACGGTTCAAATGATGGTCTAACCCATCATGGCCTAATCTGAAGACATATTCTCTACGTGCTCCTTATCTGAGGACACATCATCAGCGTGTTCCGCACACTTCGAAGCCGTTGCACCCTTCGTAATGGACGTGGTAAACCCACAGTTGGCTCCCGAATTCGACACTTACTATATTTGGTCTTTTAGACCAAAAAACTGGAATAAATTAAGCAAAGCTGAAGAATGTTTCGACGTATGAAATAACTTAGAAAAAGATCTAAGTTGTATTTGAGCCTTCGACCAGGGCTCACTTTCAAGGTTTCGACTGAAGAGGACTTACGACCTTCGACTAAGAGAAAATGTCCTCTCTTTGACACATAATACGAGGGACATTTGAATTTGAATTATTGGAGGGAAAGACAGTTTCGCTAGCGGCTAAGAAGAAGCAACGTGGCTGGAAGCTAGAGGTCGAGGGACATGCAGAAGACACTTATCTTCATCTTAGCACAGAGTCGTTCCTCGACGGTTACTTAGTTTTTAGTATAAATTAAGAAATCTGTGTAGTTTTTAGGTGTTCAACCTATTGTGCTAGTTACTCAAATATTGTCCAAGTAACCGCTGTGTGAGAAAGGATAAAACTGAGAAATGTACGTTGGAAACACCTCTTTTTATTAATGAATGTCTTTTACATTGCTTTAATCTTATTTTGCAAAGTTATCTTTCTTGCATCTTTACCTGCATTTCTATATTTCTGTCTACTTTTCCAAAATCTCAAGTATTTTTTCTCTGGTCGAACGTGCGTTCTTCCTGATTGCTTGTCTTACATAAAAAATTAGCATATGTTATGGGATCAATCTGATCGATCCCTTGAGTAACCAAAAGAACTTTCCCTTTTGGAGGATCAGCGGTTGTTTACCAAAAACCACGGTAAACAAATTGGCACGTCCAGCGGGACGTTGCTAATTTTTATTAAATATCTTGTTTATGTTATTGTGTTTCTTCTGTACAGTTATAACATTGCATGTTATTAAGAAGTGGTAGAGTGACCAACGAGTATACTGTTAGGAAGAAAAATGGCGAGGGTAGTATGGCTAACGAGCCAAATCATGGAGAAATACCTCCACAAATTACTGGAACAGTGGTTACTACCGCCGTCAAAGGGAATATCTCAACTTCCGTTGGATCAATACCGACTTTCGTATGTAGGTCCAAGAGGTCCATTAGGAACGCCTCCACCAAGGGAAAATCTAGGATCTCGACTGTGATCGGTGGAAATAGAACTGACTGTTTTTTAAGCTGGTTCGCGAAATGTCGCGGTAAGCAAGAGTCACCACCGTCTTTTATGTTCTCCAACATGGAAAGGACAAAAGCACAGCAAAATTCCTTCTTTGAGATGTCTCTCGGTTCGGGAGGTAGATTTATAGAAAGGGAAGGTGTTAGCACCCTTCCTATCCGTGATTATCCACGGGCTCTTAGGTACTTGCTCTTATGTTTTCAAAATTGTTTGCTTTTCAAGTGTGTGTGGGTTTTGAAAAAGTTTTGTTTGAAAAATTTCTAAGTAACTCTTGTATCTGTCCTCAAGAGTGTATGAAAAATTTGTTTGAAAACTTTTAGAAAGTGTCAGTGTGAAAAGATGTTTTTATTTTTTGAGAGAGCAAGTACCCAGGAGAAATCTACCTACTCTAAGGAATTAGGCTGTGTAAGAGTCCTTTAGATAGTGTTATCCCATCATTGAGAGGTAGGTAGCACCATCGTTAGAGTTATTCGGGTCAATTCGATTAAGGGACAATGTGGTCACCGAAGCAATAGTAGGACACCTTAGAAGCTACCCTTATGTCCTTGATCCTTTTTTAATCTGAGGCAACCGTTTCGAGGCAACTGTTTTGAGGCAACTGTTTTGAGGCAACTGGATCATGGACATAAGGACCGCTAAAACGTCCTATACTTGACGACCACGTTTCGGAGGCAACGAGTGAGGCGTACCCTAGAAGTGGTGTGTGTATTTGTGTGTTGATTTCATGTTAACAGTTATCTTTGATCATGGCATTGTGAGCTACGAGTTATTTTTAATTACCATACATTCTTTCATGCAATTTAGAATTTAGGAGTGCGGAAAATTAAAAGACGGAAAGATAAAAGCTACGCTATTACAAGGCGCGGGTCTATACATCGCCAAAATACAAAGACCCGTTTTTGATAAAAGATGCGGAAAGTAAAAGAAAAGCGATAAACCTAATTACTATTACATTCGAAAAGCAGTTACATAATAATCAATAAGAAAAAAAGAATAACGTGCGAAAGAATTAAAATTAGGACGTCCGAGGGTTTTGACCCTTTGCTTGAAATTAAATTGAATTAAAGCCTAATTAATTATTTAATTAAAGAAAGTGTCTTTTGTGCTTTTTGTATTTATGAAAAAAAGAGAGTAAAATCAAGAGGAAACCCTAATTCTATGTTTATTTTAATTATTAATGAAAAATATTAAAATTAACCTAATTTAAGCTAATTAATTAATTTACATGTTTATTTACAAAAATAATGGTAATTAATAATAATGATAAATAATGATGATTAATAATTAATTTAAGAAAAAGATAAAAATGTCAAAAAACCTAATTCTACGTATTTTATTTGTTAAGAAAAGTATTAGAATTTAAACCTAAATTTAACTAAAGTTAATTATTGACATTTATTTACAAAAATAAATTAGTGAGGAAATTAATAAATAATTAAACATATTTTTACAATTTGATTTTCTGTTTTTATTATGGAAAATTATTTTATGGTAAAAAAAACAATTAAAACAATTAAAAAGAATTAGAAAAGAAAAGAAAATAAAATTAAAAAGGATGCAAACCAAGGGGGTGTCTGGCCCAAAGTGGAGGTTAATTGTGCAATTCTGGCCCATCAAGACAAGGCCTTGTTTGACTTTCCAGGATTGTGTGCATGCTGTTGACTGGAGTGCACCATGGAATTCACCTTCTGGCCTTCAGATTGCTCATCAAGGCCACTTGGCAAGCACATGCGTGGGGCTCATGGTAGGCCATTGAATGAGGCGCTGCACTAGAAGACATTAAAACAAAAATCATGAATTATGTGGGGGGACCTGGGAATCGAACCCAGGTCCCAATGGTTGCAAGGCACGTCCTCCACCAACTGAGCTGTGAAACGCGTTTGTACATGTAATGGAAAACAAATATTATATAAAAAAACAAAGGTTAATGGTATAAAACAAAAAAACGCGCCAGATATTTGAATCTTCCAATCACGCTTGGACAACTATTGTCTTCTTCATCTTTTGTACCTGCAACATGAAACAAGTAGCGGGGGTTTTAAACCCCCACAAACTGAAAGTCCTGAAAATAGCGATTACGTGCACAACTTATATAAATTGAGCGCGAGGTTGCCATTCAAACCGTATTGAGCTCCTGAATTCAACTGTATAGGTCTCAGGGCCGGATTTTTCTTCTACAAGAAAGCCCTAATTTTCAAGCTTCTAAACCCTAAATGTCGTTCATGGTGAATCCTGATTTAGGCAATGTTAATTCAATTGAACTGTACCAATCGCTTCAGAAGGTCATTATTAGTGTAAATCAAACAAGAAAAGTGGTTAAAAGCGCATGAATCATGTTATGCAAGTTTGAAAAATAAGGCAAACCGTATGGCCTGTGTTCTTCAATTCTTTGCGCGTTTGGACTGGTTCTTGATTGCAAACGCTTCCTGGAGACTTAGGCAACGTATTGGAATCCTTTTTAGGCGTGGAAAGGCACTGCAAGTAGGGTTTCAGTTTCCAAGTTTTTATGAAAATTTTGCAAAGTGATTATGGAGCATGAGCAGCTTTCACGTGTATGTATGAGTAGGGTTTCACTCAGCATATGTATGTGAATGATTCTAGGTCAAAAATAAGCCCACAAGTCCATGGATTAATGACTTGAATATTTGATTGCTAATCATATCTTTTTTCAATCTTTTTCCATGGAAACCTTGCCAAATATGGATGATCTTGTCCCCTTGAGTGATGCACGAAATCTTTAGCATGTGTGGAGTATATTTGCTGCATAAAAAGATTTAAAAAAGCATATCTTTGAATTTTCCCATAATTAAAACTAATTAAATGAATTAATATAAATATAAATTCATTTAATTAATCAAAAATAAGAAAATAAATTATTTTAAGCTCAATGGGTCGTGCATAGGCTTTGGGTAATGATTCAAGAAAGAATTTGAGGCCCATTAGCAAATTTGAAGCTTTTTAGGCAAAGTTGACTTTTGAAAGTTCCCAAAAATTTCCCAACTTCTCCAATGCATATCTTGCTCAATTTCGAAGATA